TTGTGCTGTGAGAAGAACACACATTTAATTCTGCATGCTAGAAGCTGAGCAAACATTCTGCCTTAAGAAACATGCACTGAGGCTTAATCCTCACCTTCCCCAGAGCCTGCTATCAGAGAGCAGAGAATGTATCTGGTTGCAAATAAGATACAAAGTTTTTCATGGCTAGACTAACACCTTTCACTGGACCCATTTTTTAAGTCTGCTGCCAAGTTAGTGGTAAAATATTACAGTGTAACACTTCCAAAAAGTACCCAGCTTGCAGGTCAGAGTTGCCCTGTTGGCGAGAATAGGGACAGGAGGGTGACAATCTTAACGCAGTTCTAGTCAGACACCTACGTCTTGCAAAAAAGGCCCACCTAACTAACATTTCCTGCTACTGGCAGTCTCAGGCAAGAGTCCAGTTGTGACAGGAGGATGGAGGTGGATTTACCTCTGCCTCAGCAGCACCAAACCCATTGCTCAGCCATTCTGCATCTCTTGCTTGTCATGGAGAACCTTAAGTGCAGTGTGAGAAACGAATTATGGTTTATGCTGGGAGCCTGAAGTGATGCAGCTATAAAGGATGCAGGGAGATGCTCCTTCTGCTCTCTGGCTTCTGCCCACTGTGGTTAGCAATGAAGATTTAGGTTGCTTTGTTGTGGAGCAGACATTCAGGAAATCTTGTTGATAGGGCACCAACAGCAACAGGGTGATAGGAACATGTCAGTAGTGATCTGAGTTCCCACCTGTGTACCACACCATGGTGTGCTGGTAGCCACACCTAGCCCACAGCTTGGGAGTCACTGGTTTGAAAGAGGTTATTATTAAGATTCACCTTAAATACGCAGCAACCACAGTTTGGAGAGTTCTTCAGAGATCTTTAGGTCAGCATGCTCTCTGATACCTGCCTCTTGTCCAGGAAGAGGCTGAGTGGACTTCTGTTCAAAGCTGAGATACCAGAAATAGGCATGGCTTTTAGATGGGTTCATCTGTGGGCTGCTGGAGAACACAGCTGGGAGCAGCAGTCCCATGGCTGGGCTGGAGCTGTCACTGTGCATATTCATTACGATGTGCTGGATGGGAAGGATGCCGTGAGAGTGGGAGACAATCTGACCTTTTTGTATTTTCAACTTCAATAAAATCCTGTCATCCTTTTGTGACTCCTCGGCCAAGTTCTCTTTTCCAAAGCGACCCATTTCTCTTTCTTTACGTCTGTTCCAGGCCCCATGCACAGCACTGGACTTGATAAATGCTACTGTCATACCTGGTCCTCAAATCAGAAGTGACAACACAAAGTTGTTTGAGTTCAATCACCACTCTGTTTGCAGATCGAAGTACAGGGTTGCTGGCTGACCTTTTCTGATCCTGACTTCCACAGCCAAGAAATCCAAATTTAAAATCTAGGTAGTTGCTGTGAAACCGTACAAACAGAGGAGAGGGAATCTCAGCAGGGGTGCTTCAAGCTGCAAGATGAGATATTTTGCAGAGAGGAAAAGCAGCCTTGCCCAGTGGCAGAAGTCATGCCTTGCCCCGTGCTGAATAAAATGGCTGTGCTGTGAAGAGACAGCGAGGATGAGGGGCTGGGGAGGGACATCTGGGCAGGGTAGAGAACTTCCAGCGTGGCCCCTGTGTGAGGAGCAGGTGACCTTCATGCCCAGTCTTTACTGACCTTGTCTCTTCCCATCTTTACAGCCCAGCCTTGATGTCCACATACACCCAGCTGCCAGCGCTTCTGCCCTCAGCAGCCTTGTTGCTGAGGAGACCATTAAGGTGCCTGAAGAGCACGTGGCTAAAATGCTCTTTATCCCTGCAGTTACTTCAGTTGCTGATGTTGTCTCTAAGTAGACACTCTTGCAAGCTTTCCTCAAACCCAGGAACACATCTAGCTGAGACTCTGAGTGAAGCTTTTAGTCTCGGCACACGTGATGTTGTCGACAGGTCTTCATTTTTTTTTCTTGCCTAGTGATGGGTTTTTTCTTAACAGCTCCTGACAGAGGGGAAAGGTGGGGGTGCTGCAGCCAGCCAGGAGCATTTGTCTTGCTGCTTTTGCCACACTGCTCCCACCATGGCAGGAGAGGCAATAAAAACCAAATGGCTATAGGAAGTTTTGCCACTGCTTTAGCGGTAACACCAGGTAAGAAAGAGAAAAGCACATCTGGTTTTCAGTGGAGAAAAAAAATGTATCACGTAGGAATTGTGTTCTATGAATCACCACAGTTAGTTCTGCTTTCCTGCCTCAGGGCTTGAAGCTGTGGGCTGCCCTGAGCCCTATCATGTGTTTGGCACTGGATAGAGAAAAGTTTTAGGTTTCTTTGCATCAGCCAGTCATACCCAGAGCCTTAACTACCCTGTCATGCTCAGCAGCTGTATCCAGAATGAGAATTAGGTGCTGGGCAGGAAAGAAGCTGTTCCAGGGAAGGAGAAAACATGGCTTCCCACTGTGCTGGCAGCTGTTGACTGGCACTGCCTGGTTTTCTTTCTGCTTCTGGCGTAGAGGCTTCTGCTTCTCCCAGCAGCTTTTCTCTGTCCGTGCACCCTGTGCCACAGATTTCCCTGCACAACCCGTGAGGCTGGTGACAATTCTCTGTGTCTCTCGGAGATGTCTGCTGCAGTAATGGAGAATAGAAACAACAGCAGAGGTTTCGCTCTGCTATTTTTTTTTTTTTTTTTGCCATTAGAATCAGTCCAAACTCCTCATTTTCTTTGTGCTACACCATCAAATGCATCCCCCAGATCCCTTCCTGGGCAATGATTAGTCCCCATCTCAGGACCATGATATCAACTGGGGCTTTAGGCTTTAGTTCCCCCTCACCACTACCTGACCTCCAAATACATTCTATCTCCTCTCCTGATTCAGAGCATGGGATCTGCAGAATTCCCAGCCATTGAACCCAGCAGCAACTTCCCTGGCTCTATGGCTGCTGCTGTACTGTAAGATGCAGCCAAAACCAGCCAGACTGAGGATCTGCCTCGAGCAAGCAAACAGCTGAGAACCTGCTTGTGTCTCACAGAGGAGCCATAGCAGAAGCAGCAGCTCTGACAAGGCCTCCCAGCAAAGCTGCATGGATGTTACTAAGCAAATGACCTTTCTCTGGAGCAGTCACTTCACCCACACAATCGAGTGCAAAGCACACACTGCAATGTCTGTGAACATCAAGAATTTGTTCAGCTCTTCAGCAGCCAAAATAATTAATCTCCAACAGCTAAACTCATTTACTTTCTCCCCCTTTGCCTTTCTAGCAGACTTCAAATTCAGCACAGCAATTATCTGTGCTGCTAAGGAAGCGCCATGAAGCGTCTTTGGCAAACTTCTCACCCTTTCATGCACTTCCTTTTTTCACTCTGTGAGCAAAGGTCTCTTCCATCACAGAAAAATATAGTTACAAAAAGATGCCTTCTTCATGCATTGTCCCTGGCCAGCCTGGGGAGCAGCCCTGAGCAGGCCAGGGCCCATGGGGTGACTAAGAGGAGGAATCAGCAAGTTTTGATTAGGAAGATAATAAAGGAGGTATGGCAAACAGCGTTCCTCTGGGGTTTTTTTATGAAATCTCTCAGAGGGGAAGAGAGCACATGGAAGAATTAAAATAATCACCTGGCAACTTGCTAGTGCTGGTCATAGATTAGCAACCAGCAGCTAAACCCAAAAGCAAATAACAAGAATTTCCCTCCCAGGGCTGCCAGATTTACACACAGGGTCATAAGCAGGATGAGCTTCTTGGCACTGAGTCTGGCACTTCCCAGTATGTCAGGCTCCTGTCACACATGCCAGGGAGATGCCAGACACCAGAATCAGCACACAGTTGGCAGGACTAAGTTACTCCACAGAGAAGAGCTGATGCTTACCACTAGATGCAAAACCCTGACCTGCTCACACCTCTCCCATTTCATCTACCCTGTTCCAGATCTTGGAACAGCTGCACTCTACTGATGTGGCAAACCAGTCCCTGCAGGGTTAAAGACAAGCTTGTCAGCCTGAGTGATGAAAAGTAGGATAGAAAATAAGAGAAAAGAGTAATTAATTAAGGCAAGAAGCTGGGAGCAGAGACTGCAGAATGCCAATCAGTCTGGAGGGAAGGCTGTGTGGAAAGCAGCAATCAAACTCCTTCAGTTTTAATTAAACCCGTCTCTCTATCAAGGATGTGACATCTTTGTTTAACCTCTGCTTTTGAGCTGAGAAGCCAGTTGGAGCACATAAACTGGTACTGGATAGACAAGAATTCCCTTCTGGCTCCAGAGCCTTCTCAACCCAGGCTCAGCACTTGCCCTTCCTGCTCATGTGCTCCCCAAAATTGGGGCTTAGCATCAAGCAGAACATAGTGAAGGGGCCCAGGGCTTGCAGCCACTTGTCATGCTAAATGCACCTTCTCCCCAAGATCTTCCCTGTCCTCTCTGTCCTGTTTCATTTAGGCTTCACCTCAATGTGCAGCAGTCAGTCTTGATCTGATCTGCCCCATTTGCAATCTGAGACCAGGAGGAACAGGATCAGGGGTGAGCAACAGCCCAGCTGCTTCTAGGCAAGAATAGGCAGTGTCCAGCTGTGCCACGTCATTGCTCCTGACTGCTGTTCCCTTCTCCCTCCAACACTTTGGGCTGTGGAGTGATCTTCACCTGAAGAAATGATGAGACTATGTGGGCTGGCCACCAGCCATGGCACAATGTGCAGAGGGTGGCTGCAGAACTCACTGTTCCCAGGAAGGCACATTGGACACGTTTCTGAAAGAGATCCACCATGGAGGAGTGGCAGCTACCACAAAAGGAGAGAGGTGGAAAAATCAGAAACAGGGAGAGAGGCAAGGGAGGCTCAAAGTGCAGAAAGCAACATCAAGCACTTGAATGGAAAAAGAAAACTAATTCCCAGCACTGTTGGCCTTTCTCTTCAGTTAGCCTCCACACAGAAAAAGGGATGTCCTTGGAGCTGAGCTCTAGTGAGGTGAACAACAGCTTCAGTGAGCATAAGAAATACCATGTCAGCTGGGAATTAAGAGTGGGCAGGACAAAGCAAAAAGGAAAGATTTACGCAAACAGAAGTAGGGAACAGAAAAAGAGAAATAAGGGGGAGATCATGGCTCTGCTCATGCACATCACAGCTCTGCAAGCTGCCTGATATCAACCAGCCCCACTGTACAATGCCTACAGCACTGGATGAGGCCAAAACTCCTTTACTTTTGACACAACTTCCAGCACCATACATGGGGACAAGTGAGGACACCAGAGGATTTTGTAGCCCACACAGGGCTCAGGACACCTATAAGTGCCATGACCGCCTGTAATTGTTTCCCAGCTTCAGTGTGGAAGTCTGGCTGTCCCACAACGTCACAGCTTTCCCCTTTCTCCTAAGCTTCCCAATTTTCACCTCCTGTTAAGAAATTACAGGTGCAGACCTGCCTCACATTAAGGGTTACATATTCAGGATCCATACAACATTAATAAAACACCATACATAATTAAAGAAAAGGACAGCTGTTGCAGTCACTTAAAGTTTACTGTGAATATTGAGCTGGGATGATGGCAGGTCTCAGACATGACTACAGGATGATGGAGGAGGTGTTTGAGGAGTTCTGGGGGACTTGAACTCAGACTTAATGGGTCTGAATGTGTGAGCTCATCTCTTACTGCTAACATAAAACCATCTCAGCGGGGATAATGCGTGGGCATGATGATCCTAGAATCCTAGAGGAAAGCAAAACCACTGTGATGTGGTCAGAAAATGTGATGCAAATAGCGACTTCTTTCTTGCATCTCTAGCCCTTTTCTAGGGCTTCTTCTTGGTCTTGTCCAGCAGTTTCTCTTAGAGGGGTCACATCTAGGGAATGGCCAGCTGTTGCCAAAATTTCCTCCTCCAGTAGCTCCTTCTGAACAGAGATCATGGCATCTTGTACCTGCTGAGTCCATGCTCTGGCACAACTGGCACCTTCATGGTCCCTCTTCCTGGTGCTCCCTTCTGGGGCTTGGGTAACCTCAGTGTTGCGTCCATAGAAATCTCCTGTCCTGTTGGCAAAACCTCCTTCCACATTGACCATATGGACTTTCCTTCCAACTCTCTTCTTCTTCTTTTTCCTGATCTTGTTCTGGAAGAAGAGGCAGGTGAAGGCCTGCTTGAAACGCTTGCGGAAATGCTTGGAGATGAGGGCGTAGACAATGGGGTTGAGGCAGGAGTTGGTGTAGGAGAGGCAGTGGGAAGCCAGGCGGAAAGCGTAAGTGGCCCGGTTGAAGGGAAAGTGGCCAAACCAGAAGCAGAGGATGACCAGGTGGTGGGGCAGCCAGCAGAGGCAGAACAGGATGGCCACTGTGACAATCATCTTGGTGACCTTACGCTTGGCTTTCCGAGACTCTGAGATTCTTTCTATGGGGTCTACAGAAGTCCACAAGAACTTGATGGTCCTAGAGTATGCCAGGCTCACCACAGTCACAGGCAGCAGGTACCCAAACACAAATGTGAGGATGTCCAGAACCTTTCTGCGCTGGTCCTCCCAGATGGGGACACAGATGGGCACACCATGGTAATGGATTATCTGGTAGTAACTGAGGTAAGGCCCTGCGAAGAGCATCGACAGTGACCAGATCACCACAATGGCCACTCCTGCATTTCGGGATGTGCGGAGATCCCGGGACTTCAGGGGATAGCGAATGGCCAAGTACCTGGCAAGGAGGGGAAGGAGAAGGAGAGACAAAGCACAACATGGATGAGATGAGGTATTCCTCCTGCCCTGTGGAGCTGCCATCTGCATACCCCTTCCCATGCAGCCACCCATCTCTTCCCTCCCAAATCTTTTGGGAGGGAGGGTTACAGTGAATTCACAAAACTATCAGGGTCATTCCAACTGTGTGCCTGAGATCTCTATCATCCACTCTACTGTGCTACCTCAGGAAGGGCAAGCAGTGCATCTTTTGAACCAGGTAAGAGAAGGATAGGAGCAGGACAGGACTCTCCTGTTCCTTCTGAGTTGTGTTGCTGCCCTGGGGTTTTGCTGTTCTTGCTTATGCATGGTGGACTCCCCTCCTTCCCAAGTGAGCACTGTGTAATTAGGCTGAGAGCTTGGCTTGTTAGAGGGGGAGGGCATGGGGAGCTGCGGAGACTGGCTCTGCTGGCCCTACCTCTGGGGAGACCCAACCTGCTTCTTACAGGACACCCAACAGGGTAAGTAGTGGCCTTTCTCCCACCCTTAGCTCAAGAGGGACAAACACAGTGTCCCTGAGCTGCAGAACTCAAAGGGAAGGGGACACTTACCTGTCTACAGAGACAGCAGCCAGGGTAAAGCTGCTGGCATACATGGTGAGGTAGATCAGGAAATGCACAGCCTTGCAGGCAAAGGCCCCAAAGAGCCACCCGTCCAGGGTGTAAATGGTGGCCTGGAAAGGGACACAGCAGATGATGAAGCACAGGTCGGCCACAGCCAGGTTGAGGATGAAGAGGTTGGTGGTGGAATACTTGACTTGGCCATTCCACAGCAGCACTGCCAGCACCAGCCCATTTCCCACCGTACCCACAAGGAAGATGAGGGAGAAAACGATGGGCACAATAATCCCTGCTGCTCGTAGCTCCGGGCTGTCAGAAGAGATGTTCAATCCCCCTGGCATCTTCCTGTCAGACTGCAGGGACCTGCATTGGGACAAAGGGATAATAGGCCACAAGGTGCCTGACCCCAGCCTTTGATACTCCCATTTCTCCCAGAGATGCCAGTCCCAACCAGCTGGTTAAATGTGCCACCAAGACCCTCGTGACATCACTGGCAAGAATGCTGTTGTGGTCAGTCAGCCCACATCTGCCTGGCTTGAGCAGAGCTGAAGCCTCTTTCTCCTGCCCAGATTCACATTGCCATCAGAACATCTGTGCCCCCAGCACCCAAAGGAGCCCTCCTGCCCTGCCACCTGGCCTCACCCACCTTCCTCCTACATTTCCAAATCTGCTAAACCCCTAGGGATTGCTTGCTTTGGCAAGTCTAAACCCTGGCTAGTGCTCAACAGGGTCTGGCCACAGGGCCAGGGGGAAGGAGGCTCCCATGGGCTCTAAGTGGTGCCAGCACACTCAGCCCAGGGCTGTGCCACCTCCTGCAGCAGGGAATTGATGCCTGGATCACACCCCACAGCAACTGCACCCCAACACATTCCCACCCCAAGGGAACTCCTTAAGCTGGGACCCCTCCACCCCGGAGCTGGCTGCTCCTTGCTCCCTGTGCAGTAGCTACACTCCACAGATGAAAGGCAACTAAATGCAGCTTTTCCTGATGCTGAGAAGTGATCAAGGGCTGGATGGTGGCAGGTAGGTGAGGATGGGGAGGAGACCCTGGAGCTGCCTGAAATACAACATGATGAGCCTGTTATTATCACAGCTCAAGGTGTTGTGATTTGCTGCAAAACTTCCTCCAGCCCTGAGTAACACTGTGCTCAGGCAGGGAACACCAACAGCCTATCTCTGAATAAGCCTTCTCCTTGTTATGCTATCATTAGAACAAATTGTCCTTCTGTGAGCAAAAACAGAGAAGGAAAGACACTGTTATCTAGCTACTGTTGACAAGCAATTAACTCGGTTTTGGGTCATGCAAGCTCCTTCACTCCATGCTCCCCCATCCCTCAGCTCATGCTACTTCTGCTTCCCAGCTTCTTTGTGTACCACACCAAGAGAGTGTCCCTGCCTCTCTGTGTCTTTGGTCCCCTCTGTCCCACTGATAGCCACCCTCCCGCTTATCCATCTGGCCCCATGGGGGATGGATCTCCTCACTGAGGCAGAGGAGCCCAGTCTCCTCTGGGCATGCCAAATGCACCAGGGTGTCTCTGCTCAGGCCACCTTTCAGCTTTGGAAGCCGGTACTCACCTTTTTGAGGAAGGGCCTGCAGCTTTGCCACACGCTTAGGGAGAGACGTCCAGTGCAGCCCACGCAGCAGAAGCGGGAGGACGCAGACCACGGAGGAGTTTATCTGGGCAGCCCAGTTATCCCACTCACTCCTCCTGGTGCTCCACTGCCTCCCCCTGCCCGCCACCAGCTCTGCTCTCTCTGCTTCTGGAGCTCCTCTCCTCTCTCTCTGACTCCCCCTTTTCCCTCCCTCTGCTCTTGCTGCTGATCCATAGTTCTCTGTTGGTTTTTTTTCCCTCTCCCTGAGGTTGGGTTTGGAGTTAACTCCTCTCTGCCCAGCTTTCCTGCAGGCTCAGCTGCTCCCAGCTCCTCCTGCTGAGAAGGGGGTGGCAGAAAGAAATCTCACCACTCTCTAGTGGAAAAGGGAGGCTGGAGGGGGAAAGGGTCCCTTGGACCTCAGCAGCCACCTCTCAGTGCTGGGTGTTCAGGGTGTGTTTTTCAACACCTCCAGGGAACGTAAATATCCCACAACTGTGAGCCTCACCCCTGCCCTGTCACTCAATATAGGGTCATAAACCCTCTGGAGGATGAGCAATTAATTGCTCTCACTAGATTTTATTAATTCATTGTTAGTAGCACTGAGCAGATTGAGCCTCTCCCACAATGTCTGACCTAGGGAAGGAGGAGAAAGCCGGTTTTGGATTCCATCCAGTCCAGTCTCCACTCCATCAGTGGTACAGTATGGGAGGGAGGACAAAACCTCCAGGATGACCACCTCCAGAGGTCCAGCTTCATCACAGCTGCCTGGAGACACATGGGGGCTGGCTGAGGTGCCAGGAGAGGACAGTGACCCACGCAGTCCTACTGCCACGTCCATCCTGGTGACAGGACCCGTGCCCTGAGGACTTCCAGCTGCACTGCGTACAGCTTGGTGAGTCTTGCTGAGAAAGGATCAAAGGCCACCACCTTCCCTTCATTGGGAATGTTGTGGGTACCTCTTCCAAAGAACGTGCAGGATTTGGAGAAGGAGGCACTGGCCCCTTCTCCCCCACGGCAGCCCAAATTATCCCCACTGGCTCAGTGGCAGGAGGAAACCATGTGGTTTCTCCCCCCCACCTGCCCCTCTGGTGGGAAGGAGCGAGGTGTCCCCGCCAGCTCCCTATCAGCCGCTGTAACCAGGGAAAAGGGGAAGGCCATGCCTCGGGACGCGGTGATAACCCAGGGGATGCGGCAGAGTGCAAGCCTGCAGCCAGGCACAGCCTGTCACAGCGCTGCTCGCCATGGAGGGAGCACACCGCAGCTGCCTCCTCCTCCTCCTCCTCTTCCTGCTCCCACCGCCGGGCGCCCCAGGCCCACCGCCGCCTCTGGAGGAGCCTCGGGAGCCGCCGCCGCCGCCGTCCAGCCCCGCGGACCCCGCCGCGCACCTGCTGCGCGGGCAGCCCTCGGCGCCGGTGCGGCCCTACAGCCTGTCGCTGTCCCCCGAGGATTACCGCTACGCCCCCAGGCCCCGGCACCTGCGCCCCGGGCGGCTGCGCCGCCTCCTGGGCTCGGCCTTCGACCCCTTCTGGATGGCGACCGAGCAGCCCCGCGGTCGCAACGGGAGCATCCTCGAGGAGAACCTGGAGTCCATGAGCAGGGACCTGGCCGAGAGCGCCGGGCGGTATCGCCGCAAGCTGTGGCGAGAGGCGGAGGAGCTGGAGCTGCCCGCGCTGCTGCCCCCCGGCCCAGCGCTGCCCCCCGAGCTGGCGGGGGCCCTGGCCCGCGGCCTGCGGCACTGGCTGGTGGAACGGGCCGCCTGCCGCCTCACCTCCGCCTGGGTGGACCTGGGCCCCGTGTTCTGGCCCCGCTGGGTGCGGCACACCACGTGCGAGAGCGGCCCGGCCGGCTGCTCCTGGCCCCCCGGCATGGCCTGCCGGCCCGCACAGCTCACCCGCATCAAGCTGCTGGCCTGGCACTGCTGGAGCCCGCAGCCCCCCGCGGCCCCCAGCTGCACCTGGCGGCACATCCCCTACCCCGTGGTGGCCGCCTGCAAGTGCTCCTGCCGCTGAGGGGGCCGCGGAGGTGCCTCCCGGGGCCTGCTCTTGCAGGCCTGAAAAGGCAAACATCTGCCTGGACCAGCCCTCGGAGCTGGGGGAAAATCCCCCAAACAGAAATAAACCTCCAGAAAGGAAGCGGGGATGGCTGTGGTCGTTGCTGTGTCTCACCAAAACCCCTGGGTGGGGGTGCGGCTGCTTCGCCCCTCACCCACCAGTGCCGTGAGGCATTAGCACCAGCGGAGGCCCTCGTGCGGCTTTTATCTCCAGCAAAGGACGAGGGATGGAGAAATTATGGCACTGAACGGCAGGTTCAGACCCCGTTTGCACCACCCCAGCTGGCTCAGTCCAAGCTGGGGCTCCCCTGCCTGCCTGGATGGGGATGCAGGCAGGGAGCCAGGGCCAGAGAATTCCAGCAAAAGATAGAGGTGGGTGACTGCTCGGGGTGGAAACAACAATGTGGAGAGGGGCTGGAGGGAATCATGGGGCAGTGGGGTATTTTGGGACTGCAACAAGGCAGCCTAGTGAGAGTAGAAGTGGGAGGTGGGACACGATCCAGGGCTGGAAGCATTTCTGGGGCTAGGTGTGTATGAAAATGGGATGGGATAGGATAGTCCCCTACTTTGAGGTAAAATGGGTGAAATATGTGGATCCCCCACCTATCCCACAGTGCAGAGGCTGACAGCTCCAGACTCAGGACTGCCTGAGCAGCATACAGGATATGGGGTAGGTCAGGGAGCCCAGGGTGGGAACTGCATCCTCAAAAAGTGACACCTGCCTCTACATTCCACTCAGCAAAACAATCCTCTGCTTTCTGGGCTAAAAGCTGTAGATCAGACCTAGGCTGGAAGGCCTTGAAGCAATAAAGAGCAGGAGGACGTGCCTCAATTCAACATTAACATGATGCCTCCAAGTCAATGAGTATGGCATTATTCATTACCAGAGTGCCATCATCTGACACTCCTGCCTTCCTGGGATTCCAGCACTACACAGTCTGCTCCCCAGACAGCTCCCCAGCCTGCTGCTGAGCTTGGCCTTGAGGCAGGCAGAGAGCAGGGAGCTGGCTGCTGAGGCACCCGGGAGATACGGAGGGGAGAGGGAGGTCAGTGCCTCTGGCAAGAAAAGGAGCAGAAGGGCAAGCCCACACATGCATGCAAAAACAATGAGCATCACAGGAGGGAGGCTGCTCCTGCTGCTCCAGCCTGCAGATGAGCAGAGACACATCTGTAGGGCTGCTCTGCCAGTGAGGAGGACTTGAAAGCTGGAGCAGGGTTAAACTGCTTGGGTTGTCTGCCCTGAGTAGAGCAGAGGCATCAGCAGGGATGCCTGCAGAGGGCCAGGGGAGAGAGGGAGACCAGGGCTGGGGACCAGCAGGAGAGAAATGTGAGGGAGGGTGGTACAGGTGTGCAATGGAGCTGTGCAGGTAGGGGGAGCAAGGGGTGCACATGCATTGGGCTCAAACCAGCAATTATTCAGTTTAGGGTCTCAAACCTCCCTGAGCCCATCTGGCTGAACTTTCATCTCTTCCAGGTTGCACAAGAGGCCTGAAAGCAATCTCCCCGCCTTCCCCATGCCAAAATACTGCCTGAAATACTGCCTGAATACTACTGTTGAAAAGGGTTTGCAGCACTGTGAGGGCCTGGTGCCACAGAAAGGGAACTCCATACCATAGTTTATCAGCAGGTTGAGCTCAGGGCCTGTGGGGATGGAAAATTAAACAAAATCAGCACATAGTTACACTACCAGCTGTTCTAAAATGGTTTGGTTGTACTCCTGTTGAACCTACAAGACACACTTCTCCTCTGTCCTTTGCATCCTTGTAAAGCCCTGCAATCCTGGATTAACACCTGTATTCTTCTGCAGTTGCTCTGGCTCAGGTCAGACATTATTGTCCTGTGGTTTGCTCCCTGACAACCCAGTGACACATAAGGACTTGAGAGCAGGTCTTTGCTGATACAACCCAGTGCTCCAGCACTCAGGCACAGCACACTCCATTTCAGCTAGAATCTGTCCCTGGCTGCAGCTACTCATTCAGCACATGGGCAGCTGGCATGACACACAGTTTCTGATCTGGAACAAAACCGATGCAAAGTAATCCTAAGAGATGCCCAGGTGCCACTTGTGTCTTTTTGAAGGCTGAAATACTACAGCACAGCTTGGAGGAACAATTCCAGAGATTCCTACCATATGGAGGAAAATTAAAGGTTTCTGTCACCTACTCTGCCCCTGGCCTTAGTCAGATGCAGATTCTCTCACCATGCTGCTGTAGCCTCTGCCACCTCAGCTTGCCCACTGCCTGATGGCCTTTCTGGGGCAAGAATATCTTTTCCAGGACAGGTTTGGGACCACTGAAGCAACTGGCAAAGCCTTGTAGCTGGGGACCAAGCAAGCTTCACATCTAACACCTAAGAGCAAGAAGGAGAGAAAGGAGCACCGGAGCTTTGGTGGGCCCATGTCCTCTTCCCCTAACCAGCTGTTGGTGGCACAGGTTGCAAAGGGCTTGGGAAACACCCCTGCCTGCCTCAGTGGGGAACTGCAGCAGTCAGATCTGCCAGGGTGATGCTGCTGGACCCACAGGACAGCACAGAAGAAGCAGGCAACATCAGCAATGCTGTTATTTCCATCAGCAGGAGACAGCAGGAACTGCAGCGCTTCAGCATCGGGACTGAGGCTTCAGAGAAGGCATAGCAGAGAGTGAGACGATGGGGATGGGGTGCAGCTCCTGGATGAGGAAATAGGAGCCAGACAAATATCTGCTGCACTGCAGGACACCTTTAATGACACTTTCACGTGCTGGTTGCCAGTGCTACTGCCAGCACACTGCAACAGCAGCTGGCTGACTCATGGTGCAGGCTGTGATGCCTTGAGGAACGGTCCTGCTGTTGGCAGTGTGCTGCTCAGGCCTTTTTCCCCATCAGAGGCACTTGGTTG